TGCTCCAGTCGGTGGTGGAGAAGCAGTCTTGAAGTGCCTCTGAAGACCCCTCAGGCCACACGCGTATCTGCTTTGTAGCTGGTTTGGTGACTTTAACCAGGAAACGCAAAGACACCGAAAACACACTTCAGAGCCATGGGAGGCTGCAGTGGGTCACTTTTTTTTGCCAGCCGCCATAAAACATGAGGACAACAAGGCAGCTCACCACATAAATCACACCGGCAGACAGCCACTATCCACTGGAACTTTGAACGAATTGAGAACAACCATTGGCAGAGGGTCAGCAGGCCATACCATAACCCTTGGTCCAATAATAACTCCATGGAAAGAAGTGAAGTAACAACTGGGTTTCTGAACAGACTATCAACATTTTAACAGCTTCTGCTATGCATTGGTTATGATGTTGAAGTGGCCATTTGGTGTTGGGATGACATTTTTCTGGTATTACTGTCTGTGGCTGTAATTAAATAAGCTAGGATGTGACTGCTACAAAGTAAACTAAAAGAGTGCAGATCTCCACCAGGTGTGTTTGAGGTAGCGATAATGTCATCCGAATCCGCATGTACGCATAAATTATCCACCCGCCACCCACCCCAACAAACTACTTTCTCTGATGTAGAGATCCGCACTGGCGTAGACCTTTCACTCCACCTCTACCGGTCCCTGTAGGCTATATTTCCTTTTAAATTATGTAAATTATGCAGTACATGCTTTCCAAGTGATTTCTTTATTGTGCGTTGGATTGATGTATGAGTATCTTCTTTATCAGTGTACCTTAAAGATTATAGACGCTGCTTTCAGTAATTTAAAAGTATAACTTTTCTTTAAACATTTCCCTCCACATTTCCATCTGCAGTAAATGAAAGACGTAACAGGACTGAGGAAACTCTCCAGAAGAATTCAGATTTTAGCTTCTGAAATTTTCTTTTAGACGGTTCTGATGGAGCTCAGGATTCATCAGGAGAACAGCTGCTTTACTTCAAACAATTTCACTGTATGAACCTGGACTGTGTGTGACCTTTTGGATGTGTAGAAGAACACAGAACATTAATTAACATTTGATCCTCACTGATCCTGTCAGCGCGTCTGGAGATTTAAATAATCAATGAAGTTACGCTGCTGTGTCTCGTAAGTAAATGCACACAGCATCTCTCTTAATGGGGAGACACTTCACCCAATTGCACCCACCCGCAGCCCATCTGCTATTAATCAGAATGTTCATTTTTATGACACAGCGGACCCAATCTGCAGATTATGACATTCCTAGTCTGGGGGCATGTGGGTGGGGAACAGGGAGTGAAGAGCAAGCTGTGAGTGTGTATGCATGAGATTAATGGAATGAAGGGGAGACAATATGCACAAATCATTTGCACAGATCATCTGCGGACCACACATAATGCCAGACTCATTGCTTTCATTCTTTTATCAGCCCCATCAATTTGTATCTGTATCTTTGTATAATAGTTCAATATCAACTAAGCTATTTAGGGAGAATTAGCGTAAAGGTTTTAATGGTGGGGGAAACTCATGCAAACATGGGGAGAGCATGCTAACTCTGCTTCAGCCAGTAATCTAACCCAGGACGTACTTGCTGTGAGGTGACATTGCTAACCACTGAGCCACTGTGCTGCCCAATCATCAATATAATCATCATCATGTAATTCTGGGATTTGATTGCTACAGTGTTCTGACTAGTAGCTTTTCTCTACTTCTGTTACATTATGTTTAAGCATTTATTCCATAATTGTAATTTGTGACCACTGTTCAGGAAATGCTACATGGCCTTGCTTATTGGACACAATGCTAAACTGTTGCATGTCAACCATGTGTTTTAATCAGAGATATTTTAGATTCACTTCAGTTACTTGCTCATTTAGTTGGGCCTACTTGACAAAGTATCCCAGAAAAAAAAAAAATTAGATAGAGGCACTATTCTGTCTTTACCATAGATGTCAGCAGTAGTTGTCGCTCTTAGTCACAATGTAGTCACAAAGTTAACGCTCATACATCCACCTTGAATATAATGTGTCTTAATGAGCAAAGTCAACAGCAGCAGGTAGGTTGTCATACATCATCAGTGACTGCACTCTGTCAGTAAATATCACAAGTGATCATAAACACGGTTAGGACACTTCACAGGTACACGCAGCATAAACAGAGTGTTGTTGAGAATAAACTGCATCCAGCTTGGAGCTTTAAATCATCAGCATCCCACCTGCTACATCTCTAACTAGAACAGAACAATCTTATACAACACAGTCCCTGTCCAACTGTCCAGAGTGCCTCTCACTTATTCACTGTAACACAGTCAGTACATCCTCAGCCCGTCTTAAACTGCTTATTTATGTGTTGATTCTAATCTCAGTGAAATTATTCTTTGAAAGGCCTGGATTTAAAATGGGTGCTCTACCTGGAATTCATTTTTTTCTGGACTGGTATTTTTCATCAGGCGTCTTTGCTCTTGTTTAGATTACTGCTGGTGTCTGGATTTCACTCTCCTTATGGTCTGAATATTTGATGTCCACCCAACTCATAACCCACTTAACACAAGGGAACTTGCAATGGCACCCCCAGACACTTTTAATACGGGTGGCCAGATCAGGCTGCTAAAAATCTCGGGGTTGCACATCACAGCCAAAAGCTGGGGGAGGGGTCGCAGTGATGGACAGTCAAAAGTGCTTTTCATTTTCTATTAACTATGAAAAATATACATTATGGATTAATATGAATAGTACCTAATGTTAAAATATCCGATAGAAGCATATTATGAATAAAGTACTGAATACATATTATGTATATACATATACACATATATGTGTATGTATATGTAGCTTGACAGGGGAGGACAGTGTTGGGACCAGCGACTGTATCTGAGTTGCCCCTCCTCCCTGACTTTTCTTTAAAGCCACAATGTGTTTAATTTGAAATTGTGATACTTCTCCGCAAACCAGTGCTGCAGAGGTATTACCTCCACCATTTTAGGCATGATAAAAGTGTTTATTATTAAGGTTTAATTAGGTTAATTGTACCAATTTCATTTAGTCAATCCAACTTAAAACTAGTAAGCACATTATATGTGCAGCATTTTTCTAAACTTATTTAAAATGTGTTATTTATCTGAATAAAGTAAGATTACATCAAATGCATCTTCTTTAAGTCAAACTAATTTAAATCCACTCAAAAAGACTGAGTTATTAATTCAGCAATTCATTTTAAATTTTTAGAGCATTACATTATGTTAGCTTACTTATTGTAACTTAGATATGTTATTGGGATTAACAGTGTGGTAATATCAAAAATGAAACTGTGGAAAAAATTAAAGCTAAAAGCAACACATACTTAATGAGAACATCTTGTTCAATATATTCAAGGTTCATTCAATATATTCAAGGTTCATTCCATATATTCAAGAATTCATTCAATATATTCAAGGTTCATTCAATATATTCAAGAATTCATTCCATATATTCAAGAATTCATTCCATATATTCAAAGATTCATTCAATATATTCAAGATTCATCAAATTAAATATTCCTGAACGGACGATGCGCATAGTTGAAAGAAAGAAAGACAGTGAGAAAAACTTGATTAGCATCATGTAATAATAGCTGAAATAACAATATAGCTATTAATTAATATAATATAAGAATGTGAAAATAAAGACAATATAAACAGAAAATAGTAATAAAATAAGGTGATAATATCGTGAAGTTCCCTTTATGTAGTGGAACAGGAATGCCTGTATTAGTTTGCCCTCCTTATCCTTAGCTTGAGCAGACTCCGGACCACGACACACCCATATTCCTGCCCAGAGACCCACCCCTGGCCTGGCTATTGGCTAAGATATGGGTGCGTCACTCCGAGTTCCAGGTGTTCCAGCTGCTGTCTCACCTGCTCAGGACTCATCTGGTCATAGAGGTGTTTTGTGTGGCTACTCTGAGACAGCTGCCTGCTGTGCACCCTATATATAAGGTAAACAATTAGTGTTGCTATTGACAATTTTTTTTTTTTGTTGCTGTTAAGTTACTGTTTCACTTCCTGCACAGATGTTGTACTGTACTGGCTTCGCTTAAAGATCCTGTGCCTAGCTATCCAGTCAGCTTAAACATCTACTTAAATAACTCCACCGGGATACCGTTTATAAAGTGTACTTGAATACTTACTTTAGTTGAATTTTTTGTAAAACTGTAACAAACAGACATATTGGAATTACAGGCATGAAAAGGTAAATATAATATACTAAGTATATAAAATATTGCAGTAAAAAGAGTTAAAGTATGGGCGCTCAGTGGGTAGAGCTGGCGACCCATGTACCAAGGCTGAGTATGAAAGGTCATTTTGCAGCGGCCCAGGTGTCGATCCGAACCGTTGGCCACTTAATGCATGCGGTGTCATTACCCTCGTCTCTGCCCCATATAAACTGTAATGGTTCAATCCAGGACTGTCAAATATTCTCTT